GTTGGGAACCCTTTTAATTATTCAGATACATCTCAAGGGGACGCCTTTGGGATATAATTATTTAAATAGAACCTAGTGACCATAAGTCAGCGATTAGGCTGTGGGTCACATAAAGGTAATGACCATAAGTCAACAAGTATGCTATGTGTCATATATATAAATAAAGGAAACTTGACTGTAAGTCAGTGAGTAGGTTGTGTGTTGAGCATTAAATGACCTATTAATTAGGAAACTCAGATTGCATGCTTGCAGTTCTAATAAATATCAAAAGGCCATTGATTTTTTAGAAAAAGGATGTGATTGTGGTTGTTCTTCAAGAATTCTCAAGGAGCAATTTGCAGAATTAAGGGAATTATTTCAAGCTCTTTCTAAGACATATTTTAATGGTCCAACTTAAAGGCAATGGATGGTGGATTAACAAACACCAACAGATGCCTTAAAAAGAAAACCAGATCTAATAAAAAAACTGGGACCTCTTTGTCAAGAAACTTACCTTAATATGTTAGGATTTGGCAGAACTTATTTTGAAAACATTAGAAATCATCTAATAAATAATGGTTTTCTGCCAAGAATTCATGGTAACATTAAAAGGATGCCTCAATGGAAAAATAAAATGGTGATTGATAAAAATATTGTTGAAGTAGTTAAGAATTTCTAGAAAATTGTGCAGAAGTCCATGGATTACCAAGTCCAGGAAGAAGTAACAATAAAATAACTCAGCCAGTTATCTTTTTACCAGCTGAAATGAGTTACAAATCAGTACACAGAGATTTTCTGGCTGGTCTAGAAGATAGCAAATTGAAAACCTTAAAATACATTGCATTTGGGAAGTTATGACATCAATTGACACCAGAGATTCAAATTAAGAGTCCTAGGACTGGTCTGTGCGATACTTGTCAACATTTTAGAGATGGTTTACATTATAATTTTCATCAAAGGGAAGAAGCCAAAGATTTGCTCAAAAGATTTAAAGAACATCTGTCCAAGACAAGATTAGAAAGAAATTATTACAATAAAAACACTAAATTAGCAGAAGAACAGAGGAAATTAGTTAATCAAAATTATTCAAAGGATAAACACAATATTGCAGCATTAAAATTACACATAAGAAACCCAGTGATATTCCACCACCTATTCAGTAAACTTTCTCTCTCTTAAGTTTATTAAGTTGGTTTTCTAATTCAACTTGGGGAGTTTTATTCTATTTTCAATAGTAAGCTTCATGATCTCTTAATTTTCTGCAATTCTTTCATTTTCTATGATGCCAACAAATTTACCATCTTTATTAAGTGGACATCCTTCTACATGGTTTTTACCTCATCATTTTTGCAGTTCGAATTTAGGAAACAGCACAAAATCAATATTATCTTTTTTTGTTCCTTTTTCTAGTTCATCTACTTCAAAAAAAATTTCTCTGTAATCCTTTGTTTTTTTTCTCCCATTGATTAACTTATTCTCTTTCCCTGTTTGCAGAGAAATATAAAAGTCATAACAATTAATCCCTTTCTCCATTTTCTGCATAAGTTCTTGTAATACTTCACCAAATTCTTTTCAAATCAAGGGTTCTAGTGAATAAAAACCATCATTTGAAACATGATGTTTTGGTTTAATAGTTGTGCATCCAAAAGACATTTCATTATGTAATCTTGTAATCATTTTACTTCTTTCTGCAATGATATTGTCTGTTGTGGGATGTAAAACTTTTTTGGTTAATTCTATTTGTTCAGGACTGGAACAGAATTTAATGATTTCTCTGTTTTCTTCATCTTGTCAATTAACAGTTAGACCTTCTTTTGCGTTGTGACAATTAAAACATTCTTTTTTAGTCATGATTACTTTTAATATGGTAAAATTTTAAGTGTGAAAAAAAAAATCAATTCTCAATCACAAAAGAAAAAATTATAGTTGGATTGGACATTAGTATTGGTTTCAGAAATCTCACTGAGAAAGATAAAAATAGACAGTAAGTTTGCATTAGGTTTTTTTGCCCCAGAGATTTCAGTCTTTTGTTTTGTAATAATGCACTTTCATCCTGTTTTCTTTCTTAATGTTTATTATTTTTCTTTCTTCTTGGTAAATTTCATAGATAATACTTTCTTTTCTTAGATAAGCCTCAAGTGTCTGTGTATCATTTATTTTGAAAATGTAAAGAGCAATTTTTTCACCTTGTTCTTTCTTCAAAATACTTCTAATGGTAGTACTATAATTCTTGGGTTCCATGGTAGACCTAATGTAAATTAACTTCATATTAACTATTTTTATCTAGACAAATATTGTGATCACATACACTGGTAATACAACTGTTAAAATTCTTGGTAATACAAATGCCCACTTTGTCTTGTTTTGTTACAGCATGCCCATATAGTAAAATAAAATAAAATTTTACTAATTTCTCTTTATTTCATTGGTCGAAAATAATTTCACGTGATATTTTCCCTTGTGATTTCCTAAAAGGCTGATGATCAGCTTAAAAATTTTTGACCCAGAAAATTTTTCCAATAAAGAAATCACATTACTTAAATTAGAAAATTTTAAATTTCGGACTGCGACATTTATAGATGACTTGAACCATATTATTATGCAAAATTCTTAACGTTGACTATCGGGGTCCTGCCCCAATCAATATATATGTTGATCATCTTATAATCAGTAATCCAAGGGAATGTTGATGGAAAATTTTCTAAATTAAACAAAATTAGTTAAATTCATAGGAATAGCATAAAAATATACAATCGTAAAAATTCTGGTAAATTGTTTTTGATTATTAATTTCTACATGCATATACAATATAGTATTTTTCATTATCATTATTTAAAATTCATTCAAAAGGCAAAAACTTTATATTAACTGTTTTAAATTTATTTAACAATAAAATCCAACTTTATAAAAGATTATTAGTTCTAAGAAAAAGGAATATCATCTAGATTATAAACAAATGCAATATACATAAAATCAATCATCAATAATCATCTCACTTTCTTCTGATTCATAACCTCGATATTCTTGTGATGGTGAAATTATTGACTCTTTAATATCAGTTTTATCATTCATACTGTTATTATCATCATCAGTTATAGTGGCATCTTCATCATCCTCACTTTTATAAATCTTAGTGGAACCGATTGATAATGACAGCATTTGTTTATTAGACAAATTATTATCCATAAAACATTTATTGTCTATTTTACTGAAAGAAGAAGTTAATCCATTATCAGCAACAACAATAGTTTGATCAATATTTTTATCAAATAATTCTTCTCTTGAGGCCTTTTCTTCCTTGACGTTCATTGCTTTAGTAAATGGATCCATATTCGGATAAAACCGTCCGGCAATATCCTCTAAATCAACAGTATACTCTTCTTGAATATAATTCTTTGATATGTACACATGATCTCCAATTTTTAATTTTCTGTGTATTTTATCACCAATTATAACTGTGCCATTTACCACACCATCATCATTATTTTTTATATCTGAATTTTTAAGCGTATAAATATCTCCAGTAAATTGAATTCGGTTATCTGGCAACTTATATATTGACGTAATTCTGAAATATTCTTTATTTGTGACATCACCTTTATCATCACCACCTTTATCATCGTTATCATCGTCGTCGCTCATGGTCAATCGTACAAAATCATAAACTTTGATTTTTTCGGTTCCAAACCATATTTCACTATAATGTGGATAATTTTTCGCATTAATAATTCGTTGTTTTTGAACAGGATCTTTAACTGAATCTAGCTCTTTATAATTAACAATGTAATTATAAACTAATCCCATTGTATAATGTTTTTGAACATTGGTGCAAATCAATATTGCTTTTAAAATTTGTGAAGAATAAATTTCACTTGAATATTTAAATATTAATTCCTCACAATCCACCGAGAGCCACGGAGATATAGCAAAAGTAGGATATTCGTAATATTTGTTTATTACCAAAAGTTTTACCAGGTACCTGTAATTGTCTAATTGATGTTGATTTGATAATGTCGAGAACCCTGCAGAATAAACACTATAATTGCCTTGAATTTGATTTGGTCCAATTTCAACAATAATTCCAGGCCAATAAATTTCCTTCGTCTTTTCATTATTATTATCATCATCATCATCACCACCTTTTTCAAAATTATGACGATGATCCTGAGAAAATGATTTAAATCTTAGCATAGTATCTGAAACCCAAACGATCTCACCACGACGATATTTAGAATCATTTAAAATGGATGATAATGTGCTATTGTCAATATTTTCGTTGATTTTTTTAATTTTCTTTGGAATCTTTGTGTCGAACTTTTGTTTACTAAATCGAACCAATAACCTACTAGCTCTTATATCTTCTTTACGTTTTTGATGGGCGTCTTTATCACAATGATTACAATTACAACTATTTTTTCTATTAAAATAAAGCCACAAGCAATGTGGCATGAATTCATGTTTTGATCTAAACCTAAAGCCTCTAGGGTCTCCTAATAATTATTTAAATAGGTTTCGTTATTACTATTATTACCGTCATACCAATTAATTAATACGAATATTTATTTATTTACATACCATAAACAAACACATCAGTTCTTTCTATACACTCATCGCCATCTTTTATGGTGCGACAACACATAGGTAATTCTTTTGGCGATATTTTTGTTGAATATTTGTATTGAACAAATAATTTATAACCATATGGTAATTGATCTAATACTAACTTCTCTAGATAAAAAAATAAATAAAAATTTTTTCCTCCATTTATAAATTTACTATTTTATTGATCAAATACCAACACTGATTAAAGAACAAATAAACCTGTTTTTTCCTCACCTTTTGATTTTATTTTTTTTGCTATTGCATCACCAAGTACTTCCATCCAAGTACTATATGCGTAAGAGTTTTTATCTAATTCGTAAAAAATTTGTATATGAGTGCTATTTATTAATTTTATTGTAGTTGTGTCGGGCCATTTTGATGGATCACCATCTGAATTTTCAATTTTCACCAATTTTTTCGGCATGCTTTCTTTTTTTTAAAAAATATCGATTTTGCAATCACAAATCTTGGTGTTACATACATTTGTATTATTGTATTTTTTTTTTGCGAAGGTTCGATTTTCGTTGTAAATAATAAAGAAAGAGTTCCATAAATAAATAAATGTTACTTTATTGTAAACATCATTAATTCTTGTACATTTAGTATAAAAATTAATGACTATTATGTTTATACATGATCAAATAAGTCAATAAACTGTTATACGGGAATGTTCCAACCTTCCCAACAGGGTTATCGAGTTCTTATAAGACATACTAAAAATATATGGAATTCATATTAAATAAATTGAGTTTCGCTTATGGATTTTAGAAAGTGGGTTAATATGTGACCATGATATCACCTTTGAATATTATCAAAGGTGAGAGAGTAAATGACATCTTACTTGGTAAGCGAAGACAATACATCGAAGAAAATTATGAAGACAAGAAGAAGATACGATTAACTAATGAAATCTAAATGATATAAATATGCAACAAAATAATATCGAATTCAACTTTTTTACATGCCGTTCTAAAAAAAGACTATATATTCAATAAAACACAACAAATTAATCAACGTTATGATAAATGATTTCAAAAAAAAAAAATAGATTTCTGAAACGAAAATCAATTTTGTAAAGTTTGATTTCGAATTAAATAATGCAACTTATAAAAGGGCTGGCCAAAAAATGTATCAAGTGTAAATACTTCAATAGATTCTGTGAAGGTTGTATTACAGAGTCTTTTTACTACTCGGATATCTGAAATAACATGGTTGATAACTTTATCAAATGAAATCATCTTTGACAGGCCATATTTTAATTTCAATAATGTAAAAAATTTAACTGAAGGTGGATTTAGTTCAAGTTATGCTGCTGTGTAGATAAGAGGTTATATAATTGATTATGATGAAAATCAAAAGGAATTTAGTTGTCCTAGAGGACAAAGAGTAAATAGTATTAAAAGTTTAGTAATCCGGGAAAATTCATTTTTTGATGGGGTTGATAGTTTTTATTTAAACAAAAATAAATAATATTATGTTATATAATATTAATTGATTCTATATTTATTATAGGAAATTGAATTGTTGCAAAATTAAATCAGCAATGACTGTTCCTTGTTATGTTAGAACTAAATTCCCAGATAATGGAAATTATCCACTGGATATTTACAAAAAAATCATTACAATTTAACATCAAAAGACAGAATTACAATCTTTAGAGGTTTATGTAATAATTTATATTGTATGCATGAAAAGATTTAATTCATTGTGATTTACATAGTGATAGGAAGAAGTGTTGTGATATTATAGACCAGTTGATGAAAAGTCATCAAATGAAATATATGGAATTATATCATATATTGCATTTAAAATACTTGGAGGCAAATTAGCACAAAGAAACAGATATCTATAGTGTTGGTATGCTAATATGGGAAATATTTGCTGGCCATCCACTATTTGATGATAGAGCTCATAATCATTGTTTAATTTTTGATATGTGTGAATATTTACAACTACAAATATTACCAGGAATGTCTGGTGATTATTCACAATGATACAGAAGTAGATCCGTTAAAAAGATCAACTATTCTAGCATCGGCTGAAAATAAATTCTTAATGATAATGATGATTATGATGATTATAATAATGTTGGTAGTAGTATTGGTAGTAGTAAATATCAATAATAATAGTAACAATAAATTTTCATCATGAAAATGATGGCAGCAACAGTGGGTGGTAGTATGAACGATTCACAACGAGTACACAAACCACATCCAGATACATATCACACAAATAGAATATTAAATAACGAAATTATTAAGTTACAATGTTCGATTTTAACTCTCTTAAATGTTGATTTTAACAAAGGTGAACAAAAATTTCATTACTAATTAATTGGAAATTAATTACTATTAACAATCTTTCTTATTCGCATTTAATTAATTATAACAGCAAAGGAAAATGTGTTGAGATTGATGAGGTCGATGAATTACCAGATGATTAATTTAAACTACACTATAAATTTATTCGTTATATTAACAAAATAAAATAGATTAAAAGATTTCAAATTAAAAATTAAACGAAATCAAATCATTAATCTATGGTTGCTCAAATGTAATTATTGAAAATCTTCAAGACTTATTTATTATTATTCAAATTTAATCTATTTTGAATGTTATTAATAATGATCATAAATTGCAGTGTTTAAATTAATAAATTAAAGTCTATATACAAAATGAGAATAAATTTTTAGTGCCGTCGCTTAGCTCTGAATTCATCATCATCACGTGGTGCCTCGCCAATTGTACGTTTTCGTGGGCTAACAATAATGATAAATAGATTTAAGCATAAACACAAAAAAATTAAAAAAAAAAAAAGATAAATGTATTTTTCATTTATTTTAAAACATCTTACTCATCCCACCTTTCTTCTTCTCTAGATCTAACATGTCCTCCCTAAATTAAAGAAAAAAAAAATTTAAAAAAATAAAAGGTGTATTTTTATTAAATAGAATTTGATTAATCATGTTTAACACATACCCTCAAATCCCTTATATAACCCCCATGATGGATTTTATCATTATTAGATGGTTGACTCTCGTCATTTTTATCGCTGCCTCTTTCGTCATCACCACGTTCTGAAATAGGACTTTCTCCGGATGCAATATGAGAAGCTGGACCGGTAGGTGGAGCCCCTGGACGAAATTGATTCCTCATCCTATGTGAAAATGGTGCATCTGGTGGTGGAGAACGTTCCCATTCGTGAAAATCATTTCTATTGGTACCAGGACCAAGCATTGGTCCAGTTGGTGGTCTTCCTGGAAATGTAGAGGGTCGGAATGTTGATGCGTTACGGTTTTCAATTTCCCATGCTAATGATTGTCAAAAGATTTAAAATTTATAAGAATACGTATGAAATGTTATTATTATAATTATCGTCAATTTGGATTTTGCAATTAATAACTTAACATGCCTTGATCTTCCATTGAGAAAAATGGTCTAATTTATAAATATATATTACGAATATATTTTAGTAATAATCGTAAAATCATTACATTTTTTAAAAATAAATTTTTTATTGGGTATTGAAAATTACCTTTCGTTTCTCCCAACCATGTTTCCAGTTATATTACCAGACATCCCAGAAATAACTCTCGGCATACCGGGTATACCACTAGGCATACTTGATGGCATTGTTGGCATTCTTCCAGGCATGTTAGGAATATTACCAGAAATATTACCAGTCATGTTGTTAGGTAAACCTCCAGCAATTCCAGTAGGATGTAACATGGATCGCATTGGCTGACCTCCTCGGTAGTTATGATCAAATCCTATAGGACCCGATGGTGGTATTTCTGCGTTTCCCATAAAAAAAGGTGGTGGATGGCCTATAGGACCCCCTCCCATTTCCTAAAGGTTAAACATTGTTTAAGTAAAGCTGCCATTATACCAATGAACATATTGTAATTAATTTTACCGTGAACATTCCCATTGCCATCGGTGGCCCTATGATTAAAGTTAAAATCAAAATTTTATTTAGGATTAGATAACCTTATAAATATTATGTAAATTCATTTCTTTCCCTACCAAATTCATCGTTTTGCGGTTTATCCATCATGGGTGGTGGTCTTGAGTTGAAAAAAAAATTTTTTTTAATAGTTTTTCAGAAATTTAGTCATAGATTCTTTTTAAAAAAGATAAATTTTGTAAAATGTTAAAATATTAGACATTTTTACATTGGATCCATTTCTTCAAGGACAGCCTCTCTTTCACTTGAGACAACTTGAATAACCGAATCATCTTGATCTCTTCCACGTCGCCCTTGAATAATTTATGATATTTAAATTATTGTTGTTTTTTTTTCCCAAAAAATAGCACAAAAAATATGTACCTCTTCCACCACGTTGTAACTGTTGCTGCTGCTGTAGTTGTTGCAGTTGTTGATTTTGATGTTGATGCTGTTGCGATTGTTGATGTTGTTGTTGATAGTGATGATGTTGATGTTGTTGATGCTGCTGCTGTTGATGATGATGGTGATGATGATGCTGTTGTTGCTGTTGTTGAAACCTTATATGTTCTGAAGTTTGTGGTTGAGCTATTGATTGTAATTCTGGAGGTAAATTTATTTCTTGTTTGGTTTCAAAAACCTTTAAAATAATATTAGGAATCAAACTCAATGTCGCAATTTAATGCATATTATTGACAATGAAAAAATATCTTTATACATGTATCTTTTTTCTAGAATGTTGATCCTCTCGCATTTGTTTTTGTTTTGCACAATATGCTTTCCATGAATATTCATTAAATCCATAATTGAAATAATCGGTAATATCGGCACCTATATAAAAAAAATGTTAAATGTTTTTCGAATAAAATTGTTAGAAGATTGGTTTTTCGCTTTGTCTTACCAGGTTTTCTCCAAGGTTTTTCTTCAGCAGAATCTAAGTCAACGTCATATATACTGGCTCCGTCAATTGTTCCAATTGCGTTAAGGTCTACGCCTGGAGTACGACTTGTTAAAGATACTGGCTGCAAACTTTCTATCGAATTAAAAAAAGTTTATATATATTCAAGAGTCATTATTTTTCGAACAATAGAATTAGACCCGATATAAATGATATAAAACCAGATCTACCATTTCGTTGTGGACCGGCTTGCTTGTTGTATGAATTAGGTTTAATATTAACAAGTGAATTTCTAATATACCCAAAACAATAATTAATATAAATAATAAATTTACATAAAAATATTATCAATTGAAATAGCAATACCTTGTTCCATTGTCATTAGGTTTATTTTGTGGAGTTTGATCCATAATAATTTCTAGATCCTATTATAAAAAAAATATTACATTCAATTGAAAGGTTTGATTAATTTAATATACATATAAATATATATAAAATATACAGATTCACTGTCATCGTCATCGTCTTCTTCGTCATCGTCTTCATCTTCAACTTCTTTAACCAACGAATTGTCTTCAACCATTTCCTCGTCCATTTTTTGATTAATGTTGTCATTTAGAATTGTATCTTCTTCAAGATTTGTGTTGTCATCTTTTTGAACAATGTTTTCAATATTTGAGTTGTCATCTTTCTGATATATGTCATCTTCCTGATATATGTCATCTTCCGTCTGATCTTTATTTTCTTCTGCTTGATCTGTATCTTCACTATATATGGAAGTCATGATGTTTCTACCGAAATTTTTTAGTTTTTCCTGTGATACAAAAAATTACTATTTTTTGGTGCAACCTAAATTGAGACACAAAGAACGTTATTTGACTCCAGCCAACTATTATTTGTTCCCCACCCAATATTCCTTCCCAACAATAATTTTTATCGTTTTTTTTCGATTGTTTCCCAACGATAAATCCAAATAAATATTTTCAAAAAAATGCCGGTGTGTACATCTTGTCATCAAACTAAACCGGACGAAGCTTTTTTTCACAAGAACAAAAAATGGAAAACATGTCAACATTGTATCGAGCTACGAGCTCTCAAGAAACAAAGGACAAAAAGAAAACGTGAAGAAGAGAATAGTAATGCCGAAGAAGTACGAGTCTCTTTGAAAACTGTAGGCCTTATGGAGTTGTCAGCCTTTGTTGCTTCTGAAATTAGAGATCTTATTACAAATGCAGCTACTGGCCCTGATGGAAATCCTTTATGTCCAGCTTTAGGTTTAAGAGTTTCCATAAACATTTCTAATATGATCACTGGCAGTGAACAACCTAAAGATATTGCACGTTGGATAGTAGAAGAAATAGAAAGAGCTGATGAATATAATTGGACGTAAGTATTAATCAATTTTATATGAAGAAAAAGCTTTTCCTGATTGTTTGAAGATAAATAAAAAAATTTAAATTTTTTGTTTTTTTCAGTTATAATTGTATGAATACCTCAATGCGACATAAAGATGTAGCCAAATTTTATTATGTTTGTAGTCAATCTATTGTAGCAATGAAAGAATACAAAGAAGGATCAAACAGAAAAAGAATGGAAAGATTTCCTTGTCAAGGAAAAATGCAAATGAAAATCGATATACCAGCTGGTGAAGCCATGCTAGAAATTAATCATGGTCTACTTCATAACAAACCTGCTATTACTTCAGATATTATCGAAGAGTGTAGAAAAGAAATTGAAGAAAATCCTCATCTGAATCCTATCCAACTTCGCCAATTCCTGAGAACAAAAAATGTTATTAAAAATTATACACCTAGACAAATTCATTCTTATTGGGAGAGAATTGCTTCATTGAAAGCTCCTGAGCTTGTTGCTCAATATTCAGTAATTTCGCCACCACCAGTTCATTTCACGCCACAATCAATCACTGCCACTTCTTCTACTTCTGCCTCTACCAATCCCACCAATAACACTTCTGCGTTACCAATCATTGATAATTTCATCGTTCCAACAATTCCTACATTTCAAAATTTTGCTCAATTATCTGTAGTGAACAGTCAATCATCATCGTCATCGACAACAACACAACAACAACCTTCTTCCAAAGCTTTAGATACAAAACCTAAAATCAATCAAGGATTTAATCATAATGAATATCTTGAATATGTTAATAAGCTGGAACAATTTTCAAAAAGAGTTAGAAATCAATTGGATCGTGGAAATTATGTTTGGCTGGATACCGTCAAGATTATGACAGCTGGAATCATTGAAATGGAAAATGATATAGAAGAATTAGAGAGACGAAGAGCCAATGAAAGAGCTAGCAAGCCATGGACATTACATTATAAATAGGGAATTTTTCTTTACATGGATTACTTGAAATTTTTGATTGTTGTTGTTCGAGTAAATTTATAATTTAAATGAAAATCCGGAAGAGAACAAATAATATGTTTTGAATATTGATTAAAAGAAAAATTCTTGATTTTGTTTAATATGCTTTTTTTATTTCTGTATTGCTTTATATATTTATATTTTTATTTTATTTTTTGTGTTTTTCCCCTTTATTTTTATTTTATTTTTCTTTATAAATCTTTGTAAACAAAATTTTTCTTTCTTTCATATTGTGAAATTTTTTTTAAAATCATTCATCATATTATAAATAAATAAATATACACATGTTATCAACCTTTGATGTTTATATATACAACTTTCTGTCGAATATGTCGAATGTCCAACAAAAGTATACACGTCATCCCAACAATCGACTTTCTTCAATCAAGTATTATTATTTAAAAATTAATGAAGAAATCAAATAAATTATCTCCATTTTTTCTCAACAATTTATATGATTATTTTTTATTATAATAATTATAAAATATAATTGCTATCAGCAAAATATATTTGAATATTATAGATGTGATGATAAATTTAGAACAACTTGAATCGATCTTTAATTAATTAAAATGAATGAATAAAAGAAAAAAAAATTTTTTAATTTATTTATAAAAAGTTGTGATTCTTCCTTATATGATCAAATTTGTTTTATGTGACAAGATTGTCTACAAAATAAAAAAAATTTAATTAACAATTAATTCATTAAACATACAACAAAGATATAAATTCGACATACTAGTTTCATTGCAGCAACCGATTAATTTAATAATTTATTTATTCTCCAATTGAAGTTTGTTATAATAAGCATCTTTTTTCTTGGCATATGGTACATGAATACCGTACCAATAAGCATAGGCTCCAGCAGTACCCAAAGCAAAAGAAACCACAATATCAGTATAAAGTTTTTTACGAAGTATTCCTGTAATTGGTGCAATTGCCATTTTTGAAAGGATTTTTTTTTTTTAAGGCTTTTGTTGTTATTTTTTTATTGCGAGTAGAAAAAAATTTGAATTAATATCAAGGTAATACAAACACAAATAATTATTCGTCAAAAAAAAAATAATATCATGTGCTAATTTTTTTACACTTTAGTATTAGTAAAAATGAATGAAGTACAACAACAATTTTGTAAAGGAGAAGATTGTAATAAGCCAGCAAAATTACAATGCCCTACATGTTTAAAAGCTAAAATTTCAGGTTCTTATTTTTGTTCACAAGACTGTTTCAAGAAAAACTGGGTAATTATTTTAAAATTTATTATTTGTAAAAAACTAGTGGGTAAAAATGAAAAAAAGACTATTGTCTCGAAAGTTTTCCGCGTCCTTAGCTTTTTAATGTAAAATTTGGATTTTTACCCAGTCTACACATAAATCGATACACCAAACAATACCTAAAGGTAAGTTCTAAAGGATACATTTTTTTCTCCCAAATATTCTGATTGATCTTTTTTTATGTGAAAATGATTTTAGTACCAGAAAAATATATAAAAGACTTTGTTTATACCGGGACATTGCGTGCAATATATCCTTTATCACCTAAAAGGTCAATTCCTCCACATATTGCAAAGCCTGATTATGCGGATCATCCTAGAGGCAACTAACTAAATAATTTATAAAAAACGAAATTCTTTATATAATAATAAATAATAATAATAATAATTTTTATCACATACATAATTAGGCATTTCTATATCTGAACAATCTAGCCGTAACACGGCAACGATAGCGGTATTAAATAATGAAGAAATAGAAGCAATGAGAATTGTATGCAGGGTAGGATTATTTTTTTAAAAATTTTTTTAAAACAAATAACATTTATTTTGTATTCATTCACCATATTTATATTTTTGGTAAAAATAGCTTGCTCGTGAAGTATTGGATATTGGGGCAGCAGCAGTAAGGCCTGGAATTACAACTGATGAAATAGATAGGATTATTCATGAAGCAACTATTGAACGTAACTCTTATCCATCACCCTTAAATTATTATGAATTTCCAAAATCTGTTTGCACGTAAATACAATATCAATGTTTTAACATTAATATTTTGATTATAATTTGTTGATTTAACGAACTTGACTTTTTTGTAAACCATTTAGATCAGTTAATGAAGGTATTATACACGCTCGATTGTGTTAATTAAATTATAGCTACATGATAGATGTAAATTTAAAAAAATCTTATTATTATTATTTAAAAAGTTATTTGTCATGGTATCCCTGATCAAAGAGAACTTGAAGATGGTGATATTGTAAATTTGGATGTGTCATTATATTATAATGGATTTCATGCCGATTTAAACGAAACCTATCCTGTTGGAACTATTGATCAAGAAAGCCAAAAACTTATTAAAACTGCCAGAGAGTGTTTATACAAAGCAATTGAATGCGGTAATCTATCTCGTACATTCACACCAGACATGTATATTTGTTGTATTAATTTTTTTTTTTATAATGCAATGATTGAATGCTCATTTTTTTGTATAGTGAAACCTAATTTTCCATATCGTGACCTTGGAGCTGTAATAGAAAAAACCGCCAAAGCAAATAATTGCTCAGTAGTTAAGACTTATAGTGGTCATGGCATTCACAGGTTAGATTTCTGTTTATATTATTTATTTCTAACTGTTAAAATCAAATTATAATGTATATTTTAAACTATTTATTAGATTATTCCATTGTGCGCCCAGCGTTCCACATTATACAAGTAAAAAATTTTTTTGATCTTGTTTAGAGAGTATATAATAAATATATTATTAATAAATTTTTTTATTTTTTTAGAAAATAAGGCTGTTGGTAAAATGAAACCTGGTCATGTTTTCACTATTGAACCAATGATAAATTTGGGTATTTATATATTATAAAATCTTTAAACAACGTATTCTAATTATCACTTAAAAATATCGCTTTACGTTATATATTATAGGAACATTTAGAGATCATCATTGGAATGATAAATGGACAGCAGTCACAGAAGATGGCAAACGTAGCGCACAATTTGAACATACTTTGTTAGTAACAGAAACTGGAGTGGAAATATTGACTGCTGGTAAAAATGAAATGCTGTAATAATAGCGATAAAGTTTTATTTAATACAATCAAATTCATTATTATTATGAGTTCTTAATGTTACAGTCATCAAATAGATCATTATAAACTTTTATATCACTATTCTCATTGTCCTTTTTTTACATATCTTCAAATTCCATGTTCATTCCCGAGCTCTTTTTGTCTGATAGATTTGGTAATATCTGCAGTTATTATTTATGAATTATTTATACAATCCTATAAAGTAAAAATAAAAAATAATTAGTAATAATATATATATACAGTATATTAATATATTCAGCGTGGTATTAATGTCGATCAATGCTTTTAACCAATAAAAATTTGCACAAATCAATTATTATACCAAAGGAAAATGAAATTCAAACACGACTATTTATCCAATATTGAAATTCAAAAAACAAACAGACGTGATTATTTGACAGCAGAAGAACATTTATTTAGCATGCGAGTTATATTTATTTATGTAGCGTAAAACACAACAAAAACGCGTCATGTTCGAGCAGTAATTATTATTTAAGCATAAACCAATCAATTATGTCGCGAGGAACAATTTTTATTTAATGTAAAGTATTGGTCATCGCACTGGTTTATATTTTTTAAAGATGAAACTAAAAACACAAAGATTTACTTTATATATAACGAATTTTAAAATCCAATTGGTTGTGTCTGAAATATATTTGACAGTAGAGGCTTGTTTTTTAAAATATCAGATTCACAAGACAAAAAATTATTTTTTTACGCGGATATCCGTATTAGTATTGTTATTAGTATTAGTATACTAATACCACTACTACACGATTATCCAGATATCAATATCAAATTTATTGATGATTAATTAAACAGCCGGTTATCAAATTTTTGTGAACGGATAATAATAATAATAAGGAAAATAATGATGATGATGATGATGATGATGATGACCGTAATCGGCAAAATATCCTAATTCGGATATCCGACGGATATAATCACTACAATTAGTATTATTAGGGTTAAAAGATCGGTCTTCAAATTTTCCGATTAAAAAACTGGCTTAATAAAATTTTATCGAGAATAATTTTTATGAATAATATAAAGAAAATTCTCTGCAGATAATTGATGTAGTTTGCTAATGTTATTGTTTAAAATGGTTCCATTCCTCATTTATACTATCCGGACCAATAATTGATTATTTGGCATAACCCTTCTTCGCCGAAATCATTGTTTCATGGTTATAATTCATTTAAAAACGCCAAGCCAAAACTATTCAAAAAGATTGTCGCTCATAAAAGAAAATCCAACTCTAAAAAAATATAAAATGATTCAAGAGCTATTCTCGTTAAATGTCACTTTTTGTGAAGATGCAACAACTATTTCAATTGCAACAATAGAAATTATTGAATTATCAGATAATGAATAAATGATGATTGTGAATTTGAAGACACACACACACAGCAAACTGAAACCATTAATGAAGAAGATAAGATACTTTTTTGTAAAATTTGTGAAAGTAGGAATGGAACTATAAAATTTGCAATGGGTACAAGTAGTTTAAAATTAAAGAACATAAAGAATCAGTGTCACCACTTTAAAGAAAATTTGGCAATTATTTTATTAATGAGAAATGTTTCTTTTTATCATTACAAATTAAGAATAATAAAGAATTGATAATTAATGATAAAACTTTTACTTTAAACTCCTTCAGTTAGAAAATCAAATCAAAATATGTGAGCCATAAAAATCCTATGGTTGGTTTTGAATTTTTAGATAGTATAATTCCTGTTATAAACAATCACTATTTGAAGAATTAAGTTCTTCACTTTATTAGAGTCTAATGATTGATGATGTTAATAGTATATTGATCATGGTAAATATTTAGCAATTATGGGATTAACTAGATACCAATTATGAGATATTAATCTAAACTCAACTGATGGAGAAAATATTTACAACCATATCATATTATTAACATTTGTAACAATGTAAACCATTTTGGAACTGATAAAAAAATGGTGTTGGGCCTCATTTAACATGAAAAGATGTTTACACATTTTCAAGAATATTAATATGAAACGACTAAAGCTCCAAATGAGCCGAGTTCGAACCAATTCGAAATTTAATATTATTATTATTTTTTTATAATAGAGTAATTATTATAAAAGTAAAACAACAATAAAAATATCTTATCAATAATTTTATGACAGACTAAAAATTCAATGAGAATCCATATTTTAACAGTATTTGTGTTTCTAATAAACCCATTTTTAGGTTCTGAAATACATGCATATACTAATACTGTCTGTTCATATATTTTGGAGAATTAAACAATCTTTACGATTATTGAGTTGACTATTCGTAATACAAATTCTTGTTCGAATTATTCGTTTTATTGAAATGAAGCTCTCCAAGTTGAGTTAAAATTCAAGCTGAGTTCAAGAAAATAGGCTCTTGAATTGTTTTTTAGGTAATGGATTGCTCATAAATAAAAATGAAATAGTAGAATTAATCACTCGTAACATCAAATTCAAGCATATTACTCCTTGAACTCAGCTCGAGCTCGAAAATTCGAGTTTCAACTTGTAATTTATATGGATATCTATCTAGATCACATAATAGGCAAGATGTTTTAGAATGAATTAATCATTTTCAACATTTCGCGTGTAAACTAATTGCTGTGACACTCAATGGTTAATGCTGCGAGTAACTTGTAACAAATTATGAACTCTGTACTTGGTGCTATAAATTATGATATAGCGAACAGTGATAAGCAATCAGAATTTTTATTGAATCAAGAATTTATTTCTGCTAGAATGTTCCTTGCTGATTTAACAAAAAATTAATTAATTAGAAATCCATCAATATCAATTTTTAAATATAATCAAAGATTTAACCACTGAATTTATTATAGATTACGAAGGTGCTCTACCAAATTATGGTGGAATATTAATTAGCGTCTTTGTTTGTCAAAGAACACTCATCGGCAATAATAGATTATATTTCTTTTTTAAAAAAACTTCCTGGAAATGAAAAAGATTTTAATTATACATGGAATAAATGAGAAAGTTTCTGGATAAATTTTACGGTGAAACCAAGTTTGTAAATTTGTGAATGTTAATGAATTCCATGGAATTTGTCTTTATTCGATTGTGGAAGTTTTTTCTTTTAATTGTCCAACAATAGAACTGGTTGTGCCTCTTTCCAATGCTCAAGTAGAAAGAACATTCTCACAAGAAATAAAATGAATATTGATACTTTGAGTAATCATTTAATGATATTATTAAATGGATCAGAAATGGAAAATTTTTGATTTTATATTTTCCCATAATTGCAATGGATTGTCACACCACGAAAAAAAAAATTTAAAATGATTTTAAATTATATTGATACTTTATCATTTTTAGTTAATTCAGAAGAAAAAGACCCAAAGGATAAATTGTATTTGATACTTGGAAATGAGTCCGCTGGTAAGTTAGTTATTAAATTACCTCGATTGATTGATCCCTTTTTCACTACATATAATAATAATAAATTTATAAATTTCAATTTTCTAGATCTTGATTCAATAATTTCCTCGATATCATATGCGCTCTTAAGTCAAAAACTTTTGTCAAACAAAACTCCTCTCCCTCCCTCTGATCCCTCTTATCGTAATCATGAACAACACATTTATTACATTCCCATCATACAAATAAACAGACATGATTTTTCTTTACGTCAAGAAAGTGACTACGTTTTTACAAAGTGTCGTATTAAAAGTGATCAGTTGGTTTTTTTAGATGATTTGAAAAAAATTTTACCAAGATTGGATTTATTAGAAAAAAAGTTTGAATTACGTTTGGTACTTGTGGATCATAATAAATTGATTGAACCTTGGACTGGATTTTCTAAAAATGTTGATTCTATAATAGATCATCATAAAGATGAAGGATTATACGATGCTGAAACTCGATTAATTGAAGGTGTTGGATCTGCAACTTCTCTGGTCGCGTTGAAGTTCAAAGAACAGTGGGAAAATCAATTAAAACATAACAATGATGGTGATAATGATAATAACAAGTCATGGAATCATGAATTGGCTAAACTTTTGTTGGCACCTATTTTAATTGATACGGGACTTTTGGATATTTCTAATGGTATAACAACTGTTAAAGATCAAGAAGCCGTAAAGTTTTTATCAGAAGTGCTTTATGATAATAATAATTCAGGAGAAATAATACCACAAGATAAAAATGTGTTTCTTGAAGAATATTATAATGCTATAGCAGAAGCACGATCCAATGTTAAATCGTTGTCATCTATTGATATTCTGCGCAAAGATTACAAAGAATGGGTGTTGAGTAATAGTTGTAGCATTGGGATTAGTAGCGTAATTTGGTATATAGAGGATTGGATTAAACGAGACGGAATTGACAAATTAATCAACGTATTAAAATCATATAAACAGGATCATAAATTAGATTTGTATATTGTCTTGTTATCTTGTAAGCGTCCTGTTGAAGGATTCGGACGAGAAATGATTATTTATTTGGAGAAAAGCAGCCCTCTTGTCAATAAAGGGTTTATTTCAAAGTTGGAATCATCATCAATGATGAAATTAAAAAAATTGCCTTTTTCATCTATTAATAATGAAAACGATGTAGTTTTATTTTATAAACAAGAAGAATTAACATTGTCACGAAAAAAAGTTTCGCCAATTATTAGAGAATTGATTGAAAATTTGTGAAATTATTAACAATAATAAATATATATATATATAACAATCATGAATAAATACATCAGACATTGTAACTGCATATTGATTTTCGAAATAAAAATTCTGTAATTTGTATCATATAAATATAAAAGGATCTTTAAAGAATCCCTAATAGTAAATCAAGGAATCTTCGAGGATATTTTGTCAGAGGTTCTCGGCGGATCTTCGCGGGCGGCGAAGAATCCCTATTAATAAAAATCCTTAAGCTCTTTCCTGATGTTGTTGGTTAAAAATTTATGACGTGCAGCAACTGATGAGGGAGGACCCATTTTACGAACTTTTGTTAGATTCTCTTTCCTGATCTATAAAGAGAGTGTTCAACTAATGCCTTTTGTAAATATTTCTTCCAGTCATCTTCTTTTTCTTCTAATTTCTTCTTCTCTTCTTCCAACTCCTTTATCCTATTTTCCCATCTTTTCTCTTGTTTTTCATCCTTCCATTCTTCGTTACCTAGTTTCTCCTCCAACTCATTTAACTTCTCCCCTTTATATTTTCCATCCTCCCACCTCCGTTGTCTCATCTAATTCTCTAAATAATGGTGGAACATTCTCATCATTTTCTCTAAAATATCAGGAAATTAAATATTGCGTAAGTGTTAAATTTGCAAGCGTCGTATTAATTGATGATAACAATATAAATTTATGTTTATGTGGATCAGAATGAATTGCCTATTATTAATGAATTAGTTTTTTATTGGCAAATAATTTTGGTTTAGTGATTTAAGAAAACATTTTATTTAGTCAAAACTAATTTATTAACTTGTTTCTAAGTTAATTTATTACAAAACTTTAATACAACTAGAGTGATGACGAGTGGCAATAACCACCAACCACCACCATTCTTATTATAAACGCTTAAAAAAGAAAAAACAAACACGTAAAATATTATTGGCACTTGGTGTTGGACAAAGGTTACAGAAATAGTAATTTCCTATATCCAGGACAAGCTTACATTGCTCTTTGTCGTTGTATATATAAATTAATTATTTTTTTATTTTATATATACATACACTCACTCCCCTACCATAAATATCCGACTTTAGGTTGCCTTGTATTTCAGCCTCTCTTAATAGTATTTCTGCATTATTAGCTTTCATAATCCGTGGTATAGAAATTTCTTTCAATGCAATAATATATTGACTTGTTTTCTCCTTCGCAATATACACTTTTCCAAATAGTCTTTCTCCGATAATAAATCCAATCAACCTAATCTCGAAATTTTTTATATTTAATATATCATTTGCAAATCGAACTTTTTTTGTTTTCTCTTTCCGTCAGAGCATTTTTTTCACAAAAATATAAAATCACTACCATCGACAACTTTTTTATTTTTCACAATCATTCCTTTAAATAAACCAGGACGACAACAAATGGCGATAACCACCACCATTCTTATGACAAACACTCGCTCATTTTCAAAAACTTTGTTTTTCTTTACTTCTTTTGGCTTTTTCTTTACGCTTTTTTATTTTATTATTGACACTTGGTGTTTTTTTTTGACGCAGATTGATCTTTTTCTTGGAAATGCAATTTATTTTTCAAAGATGACAAAATGTGAGCGTTGTTGTTTGGTATGATATGGGTTGGTTCTGAAGACGTGTTAATAACTAACTAACCAGAGGTACATTTTTTATTTGTATTTATATAATGTGGTGTCTTTTAGTTTATAAATATTTTTATTGGAATCAATACACAGAGCAGAACTTTCTGGGTAACTATATAATATCCTCATCAAGATAGTAAACGAATGATTGGTATTTTGCTTTTCGTAATCGTTAATAATAATAATAATATTATTATAGTTGCAAGATGTCAAGGCAGCATGACTGAAATATTTCGAATACTAATATTGATATTTTATGATAAATTGCTAGTTCTATACCAAAATCATTTTATTATTACTACAATTATATAGATATAAGATGCACATATATGGATACATACACAAATCCGATTCAATTCTTTCAAAATTTACTAAAAAAAAAAGATGTAATATAATATAAAAAAATGCTTTATATAGAAAATATGAATTGTCGAAAAGATTAATATAATAAATATAAACTAATATTTTTACATTTTGTTGAGCGGTATAAGGCTGTGTGTGATCTCATGACAAAATTTCATGTGCCGATCCATCGTATTGGAAAAGTCTCAGAAATTACTGTATTTGGAAGACAAATATGAATTGTCAAATTTGAAAAATAATGAATTGTCTTGATTAACACATTCTTTCAAATTTTTATAAGGATTGTCATTCCTAAAGATGTAACATGCACATGAAAAAAAAATGCAACGCACATGATTTTTTTTCAAATCATGCAATGTCCCATACATAATTTTATTTGCGAATTTTTAATTCTTACCAAGTTATTATTTATTATTTGAACTTTTGAAATCTAGCTGTAATTCTGGGTGGTATGGTGCGTCTAAGCAATTGACATAAATAAGTGGCCAAATTTGAAAATTATATATGAACACACGTGTAACGTTGTAGATCCACAAATCATATTTTTTATTACAGAAGTTTTTTACTAAAAAAATTATTCATTATTTTCACTATTAAAAATATTGTGGGTTACTTTTCTATGAGATTTATATTGCTTAATTGCAAATTTTGCTTGCTCACCTGTAAGCCCATTCCTATAAGCATTCCATATAATAAAAAGAATGTCTAGCATATTTCAGAATCTAATGCTTTAGGAACCTTTTTCAATCCATTCCAAGAATAATCACAATTGTTCTTGCATATCATTTGGCTTCTCCCCAATATCTCTCAATAAAATTCAGTTCACAGCGAAATTTTGGGTAAAATATTACTTTGTGCCCCCTCTGCTCAATTATTCCTTGAATTAATGGTTTTTGAGCTAGAAAATCAGGCTAGGCTTCCAGAATATGATGAGCACAACAATCATTATTTTCATACCACAAAATGCTTGTAACCCATCTCTCCATAAATTTCTCTCTTGCAAAACAATACACATACCTTTTGGTTGGCCACCTGGAAACACCATTTTTTGAACTTGATTATTAAATACAGTATCTCTTAATTTATGTTGCTTACCTCCAGGATTTAAATTCATATGTTTTGCAATCAATGCATTGTCAGCAAATGCACCATGAGAAGTTGAGTTGTCA